GCTGGATATATACGGTATGTAATGAGACTGTATTTGTTAAGTTGGTGAAGTCCATTGTCAGGCATTACAAGTCCTATGCAGGCTGCGGCGACATCAGGAATACGGTCCATCCACAGGACGTGGAGATGAGTCGTTTTCTCCCCTTCTCCTCCTTTCCTGTAGTCTCCCCCATTCTCTTCTCTTCTGCTTTTATTGTTGTGCTTTTTCCTTTTTTTTTTTTACCCTCTTTCTGACTGTGGGTTGCTGTTAGTGCAGCTTTTGCTGTAGTGACACAATCAGCAGCAGGGTATGAGCGGTGTGATAAGGAGTCACACAGTCACATCCAGATAGCATGGTGCTAGACACCAGATAGCCTTTCAGTTGCCCAAGCACATGGGCTGTCTGTTGGCACACCTCCCGCCAGAGACAGAAATCTGGGCAGATCTGAGGGTGCTGAAAGGGGCACATATGTGGTTGACATCAGAGGAGAGCGCTTGAAAGTCGACCTCGTGTCCTCTCTCCTGCCTTCTTTTTTCTTCAAGCCACTGGCTGCTTCAGTAGTTTCTTTACCAAACATGTTTGATTATATGTTCTTTGGTCTCTCTTTCTCCAAAAACAGCTTTGTCGATCTTTCCTGGAAAGACAGTATCTGCTAAAGTACTCAAGGCTCTTTTTTTATCTAATATTGTTATTACCTATTCCCTCATACCTAGTGTCACATCTGTCTACCTAGTATTGATATAGGGTGATAGTTTACCTTTTGCTGTGACGTAACCAACCCTGGTGCCTCGCTTAATGCGTGCACCATAGCAGCAGTTTAGTATGTGGTAGCTATCATTATTAATCACAATTTTCACATCAATAATGTTATATTGGATATAATATTGTTATTATAAATATATAATTTTATCTATCATTCGGTCAAATTAGTGTCAGTAGGTACAAAGTATTAAGTATAATATCTGACATTACATATGCAGTGTTTGAAAAAGCAATTTTAAAGCACAATGCTGTGAGAAATAAAAGGGTAATGTACACATTCTTCCATCTATCCCGTCTTCTACGTTTTCAGTATCCTTGCGTGCTTTTATCTTCCCTCATCTGGATGGCTTCTGTTTCTTCCCAATTCATATTCAAGACTCTGATATTGCTTCTTTTCAGCCAACATTGCTGGTGGATAAACATTTATAAAATTAAATTTGATCATGTTAGTCACCTCATCAAAGTCTTTAGACAGTAGGTCTCAAACTTTGCAGCATAGAGTCATCTGGGGTAAGCATTAGGTTCTGACCCATCCCAGAGATGAAGATCCAGGTCAGCTGCCAGGCCCAGGAACCTTTGTTTTAAGAAGCACCTCTGATGATTCAGAGAGGAGCTCCGCTTTAGTGGCCCTGAGCCTGCGGGGGAGCCTGACGCTCTGTGTGGGCGGCCTTCACGCTCCCCACGCACCATCCGCAGCATTCATCGCGGTCACATAGGGTTTCATGAGCACCCGTCCTGTAATGTTCCTGCCTTCACCCTTTTCACATCCGCACCCTGTCTGCCAGGAGCACCCTTTTGTGGCACAAGTTACCCCTTCCGTGAGGCTCTCTCTGGTCGGCCAAAGTGGAGCTGGCACTTTGCCACGTGTCCTTTATCTTATCTTGCTAGTCCCCTTTATTTATAGCACCATTCATACCACATTGTAGTAACTTCTTTACATGTCTCTATTTAACTGTTAGTTCTGAGTTCCATGACTAGAAAAACCTTCTTATTTATCTTTGTATCCCCAGTGTCTTGCACAAACATAGGTGAATACATTATGAGTGAATTCAATATAGGAATGAAATTCAGGAAGTCTTGACTTTTTTTAACTTTGTGTTTTATGTATTGTAAGTTTATCCATTACTTATATACCTAAGGTTCTTTAGGCATTGTATGGAAATAGTATTTATTTTCTACCTTCCTTTAAACATCATTGAATTCAGAGCAGAGACTTATACAGAGGAGGCAGAATTAGTGACAATTCTGGAAATAATTCTTGGAAGAGCAGTCACTTGAGATACTTCTTGAAGGATGGGTAGAAGTATGACGTGAGTGGCAGTAGGGAGATTGAGAAAGGAGCATCATGCTGTTCTAGGGGATGCAAAGGTACAAATGCCTGCAACTGCCTGGTTTGGAAATTGGTGGAATTTGGTTACAGTAGAAGATATAGGGGTTGTGGTTAGGGATAAATTTGGAGGAGTACACAGCAGTATATTTTGGAGGATGTTTTATGCCTTGCAAAGAAGTCTTTGCTTTGCAAAATTTTTAGCCTTGGGTTATAAAATGCAATTGAAACCTTGTAAACTAGAAAGAAACACAGATGGAAGGAGAATTGAGAAAGAAAAGACATCAGTTAAGGGGATTTTGTTGTAATTTTATGATAGAAGAATTGATTAACAATTAAAAATACTTTTATAAAGATTTTTTATAATCTTTGTTCATTCTGCCAAGTACTCTGATAGACTTAGGGTTGCACAAGATGAGTAAAGCATAGCTGGTACCCATACAGTACATGAAAATGTAAATAACATAAATTAACTAATCATGTAAATATGGCCAAGACATACAAATTCATGATGTATAGTAGACATAAAATGTTATTGGGGCTGGATTCATTGTGGACCAACTTTCATTGGGAGAATTAGGGTCTTGATGGAAGAGAAGGGACTGGAGTAGAGCCAAGAAAAATATTTTGGGTAAAGGAATAAATAAAAGAGCTTATGGGTGAGGAACTATGGTTGTGGTGCTAGAGCTTGTTTGTTAAAGCTGGAAAAGTATTTGGTATCGAACTGTAATGGGTCTGAATGTTGTGCTGAAGAATTTTCCATTTTATCCTAGAGCTTTACTTTCTAATTATGAAAATAATATATATTGATTATGTATAATAAATATGAAGAAAATGAAAATCTTTTTAAATTTCATTACAAAACGTAATTAATACTAATGCTTTCATCTATTTCTTTCCAGTGTTTCTCACCATGTTCATATATGTACTTAAGCATTAAATAAATGAAATCAGAACCACACTCTGCGTGTGTGTGTGTGCACACATGTGTAATTTTTATCTCACTTAAAATTGGACTGTTGGCATTTTGCCATGTGGTTAAATGTGCCCAGAAAGTATGATTTGTAGTGATTGCAATGCTTATTTTATTATATGGTTATGCTTAAACTGTTTACGTCTTTTCTTATTGTTAGATTATATAAGGTGTTTTCAATTTAAAATAATGAATACTGTCTCACTGAACATCTTTGTACATAAATTCTTGTCTGCATTTCTGACTATTTAGGGTGGGGTTCTAGAAATAAATGTAGTGGATCAAACAATCTTAAGGGCTCACAATATATTTTGCCAAATTACTCGGCCAAAAGGCTGCTATTTAAAGTCAGGCCTATCGTATGTGGCTTCGACTTTCATTGTACTCTGGGCTGAGTATTTTTTAGTGTATACTGTTTGCTGATTTTGTAAATGGTATCTTACGGTTATTTTAACCTTTATTCCTTGACAACTAGTTTGAGCAGGTTTTTCCCTAAATTTATAGACTATTTATGTTTCTTTTATTGTGAATTGTTCTTGACATTTATGGATTTTCTCCTTTTATTTTCCTTATTGGTTTTAATTAATAGTTATGTAGATTATAACTTCATCACTCCTATTTCTGGCACATTTTATTCCAATTTCTTAGTTGCCTTTGTTTTTATAGTAGTGAATTTTAAGTTTAACTATGTTTGGAAAATTTGTTTTTACCTTGAGATCACATATAGTCACTTATATTTTGATTTCATTTTTAATAATTTCATACTTTCTATTTCTCTTAATAACCCATGATAAAGGCAGTTCTTTGGCAGAAGAGTGACTTGATTAGATTTGTGTTTCAGAAAGAAGTCTGTGGCTCTGTGGATGTTGGGTGGGAGTAAGGAGAGACTAGGGACAGTGAAACCTGTTTAGGGGAGAGATGATAGGTCTGAATGTGGTGACAGTGAAAGAGGGGATAGAATAGAAGAGGAATGATTCTCAACTGATGATATGATAGGTACAGTAGGTTTAGTGGGAAGGTGGAGATTAGGACATATGAAATATAAGCTACTGGGGACATCTAAATACAAGTGTTGGAAATATAGGATTGAACTTTCAGGAGACTGGTGTGGCTGATTGTGGGATTTAGGGAGCCGCCTACGTATGGGTGGCAGTTCTGTTGCGGGAGGAAGAAGGCGTTTTCAGCAGCCGGCTGGGGAGGGTCAGAATTAGAAGGCTCACCAGGAAGGTATTCTCTGGGAATTTAGAAGAGGTGGCTTTTAATGCTTTTCATTTATATGTTGCCTGTCTGTCTTTCACCAAAAACAATGTCAGATACTGCAAAGAGTTTAAGAAGGAGAGAAATTGAAAAGTTTTCTTTGGATTAGTCTGCTACTTTCTAAGTTTGGCTGAAAGGGGCAGTGGACAGAGAGAAATATATAGAAGAGGGCGCATGGTCAAAGGTTAAGACTGTTTTGTAGAATCTAAGTAGACTTGAACATGTTTTCTGTTGAGGGCAAGGAATCTATGAACAGGGAGAGATGGAGGGTGAAGTAGAAAAAGAGGGATTTGATGGTGCAGCAACTTAAAAGTATGAGAGGCTGTGACAAATGCATTACTCTCTCAGGTGGGACAGTAGTTCATTCTCAGAGACCGAATTTACATATGAGTTACTGAAACAAATTTTAATCTGTTCTATGAGTAAAAAGACTCCTGGCTTCAATAATAAACTTTTTACTTTCTCCTTTCTTTAAAATGAATCTATTTTATAATTATTTCAGCCTAAAGTTCTGATTGTATAAGTTCATATCCTTTGCATGATGCTGATTGGCAGAGTTAGTGAGTTACTTTTAATGAGACAGGTACTTAAAGAGAGAGCTTAATAAATGTTTAAATTCCTTTGACCATTTATTGTTCATCAATGAATGTATGAAATTAAACACTTTTAATGATAACCATCTTTTAAAAATATTTATTGCAGGGAAACTTACCTAAATATTCCCATAACTCCCTGATGGTTCAAGCAATAAAGACGAACCTGACTGACCCGGACATACACGTGCTTTTCTTCGATGTGGAAGCGCTGATTATTCAGCTCCTGACTGAAGAAGCCTCTAGGCCGAGCACCGCGCTTATTTCCCCAGAGAACCTGCAGAAAGCATCTGGCAGGTCAGACAAAGGGGGCTCTTTTCTGACTGGAAAACGAGCAGCCGTTCTCTTCCAACAAGTGAAAGAAACTATCAAAGAGAACATAAAGGAGCACCTCCTAGACGATGACGAGGAGGGCGAGGAGACGATGAGGCAGAGGAGGGAAGAAAGCGACCCTGAGTACCGCGCCAGCAAAGCGAAGCCGCTGACCCTCCTAGAATATAACTTAACTATGGACACCGCCAAGCTGTTCATGTCCTGCCTGCATGCCTGGGGCTTGAATGAAGTCCTGGATGAAGTCTGTCTCGATCGCCTTGGAATGCTGAAACCCCACTGCCCAGTGTCGTTCGGTCTCTTATCGAGAGGAGGGCATATGTCACTGATGCTTCCCGGTTATAATCGGGCTGCCTGTAAACTGTCACACGGGAAAGCAGAAGAAGAAAGGAAGCTTCCAGCAACTGAGGGAGTAGGAAAGGGCACTTACGGAGTGTCTCGGGCCGTCACCACTCAGCATCTCCTGTCCGTCATCTCTTTGGCAAATACCTTAATGAGTATGACCAATGCAACTTTTATTGGTGATCATATGAAGAAAGGCCCTACCAGGTGTGACCATGAGAGCTTGATTTCACTCTTATGTTTCAAAAGAGAGAAACCTGTTTTATTTTTGTCACTGTTTATCGCCTTTTTTTAGTTCTACCCTCCTTAGCATTTTTGTGTCATCTCAGTGTTTCCCCTTTAAATTTTAAAACATAATATGCATGATTTAAAACATGATAAAAATAAATAGTTGTATCTATACTCAGACATACTATTTTTTAAGAATTTGGAATGAGGGAGTAGGTTACAGTTCAGCTTTAATAAATGAAATATAGACTAGCATTTCAGCAAATATAATCTTAGAATTGTATCTACTTAAAGTTTGAACCAACATTTAATTCAAAATGTATATTTGGTTAAATGCTTCTCTTCATTGTGACCCATATATAATGAAGAATACATGTTGGGTGATTGTTTTTAGAACACTGTGAAAAGTAGAGTCAGAATTTTTCAGTGGAAAAAGAGAAAACAACTTTTTTAAGTGCAAGAGAGTACTGTTTTACTATTTCTAGAAGGCTTAACCTGAATTACTATTTCCTGTCTCCCAGAAGTCACAAGGGCTACTTTTTAAACTGTGGTTTTATTATACTGTAGTGCAAGTTGGCCATATTAAGAATTTTTTTTTTGAGTCTAACAAATGCTTAAGTAGCACTTATCTTGTGTCTGGCTCTGTTGTAAGTACTTTATAGATACTCTCTCAATAAGGCTTTTAACCCTATAAGGTAGGTACTTTTATTATATTTTGTTACAGATAAGAAAATGAGACACAGAAAGGTAACGTGTCCAAGGTCACACAGTAAGTAGTAAGTGGTAGAGCCAGAATTCAAAATGCGACAGTGCCTCTAGTGTGGGAGATTTCTTAATGCCGTATTACCTTTTTCAGATTTTAGGGCTGAATTCTTTTAAACTCAATGTATTGTTCCATAAATTCATTTAGACCAATGATATAGGATGGGCTGTAATCTCAGCGTGCTAATATTGAACAAAGAAGTACTAATTATGATATTTATCTGTCAGTTATAGTATGTTACAGTGATCATAAATATTTCTTAAACTGGAATAAAACATAAATTGTAGATTTGAAATTCTTACTTGCTATTTGCTAATTATTTAATTTATCATATTAAAATTTGAAATGGAAAATATTAACAGGTACAAAACAAACAAAAAATTCCCATCTTCTTGGAGCAATAAATTGAAAATGTCTGTATGTGTTGCTTTTGTAATTCATTTGGAATTAGAAATTGTAATATTTTAAATGGTTCTGGAAATATGAAAATATGAATACATATACACATGTATTTTCTTCTTTTTAAAGGCCACCTAGACCAAGCACCCCAGACCTTTCTAAGGCACGGGGTTCCCCTCCAACTTCCAGAAATATTGTGCAAGGACAAATTAAACAAGGTAAAATTAAATCTTATTAAGTAATTGACATGACATCTCAGCTCTAGCAACTGCGGAGGCACTGCTAATGTATAATCATAACATTTTGTTTGTCTCAGATTGTTAAAAGAGAGAAAAGTTGTTATATTCCAGATGTAAATGTAGATAATTAAGATGTCAGTTAAAAATAAATCAGATTTATTTAGAAGTTGATAAATGAGCATATTTCACATAATTTTATTGTACTGCCTTTGGCCCAATTTTTATGCATTAGGGGCACCTTAACTTGACACACTAGTGCCTTAATTGTATCTTGAGCTTAAAAGTTATACCTATTGTTTAACTACATTTAGAAACCTTTAAATTCATATTTCCATACTCTAGCTCTTCTACCATTTGCCTGTAGTTCATGCATTGTAACCACAAGCAGAAATCCTTTCTTTTCATTTAAATCATTAGATTTTAACTTTTGTCTATAGCTTTGTTTTTCATTAGGGGATAGAAAAGAAAGGTTGAGTTTCTCTTTATTATCTTTTATACTCATTTTAAGGCTGATAAATGAGCTCACCAGAGAGTTGGGGGTGGGGAGGGTCACTTCCACTTAGAGAGCTTTCCTTCCAGCTGACAGTCGTGACTCACAGAATGTGGTAGAGGTGAAGCAGTAAGCAAGGGACAAAGGATGAAGGCTCTGCCTGTAAATGATGGCATTTTAGGGTATTCTTTTTTGCTTAGGGTTTTTTTTTAGATTTAAAATTATACAATTTTAATGTTTTAAAGAACCAGTGGGTAGTTCTACAAGATTTGCTAGGTAAACAGTAGGCCTCCAACTTCATAGCTACAGTTTTCCCCATCTCTGGCACATCTTCTCTTTTTTAGCTGATTATTTGGTATGTATTTTCATCTCCTTACGTGGTAGCTTGATTTCCAGTTTTAGGCACTGTCTGTTGGCTTCTCATTATGCAAGACAAGCTCTCACAATCTCCTCACCACTCCCATCCTTCATTCCAGCTCCATGTGGTTGGTCACCCCTCTCCTTTATCAGTTGTTGCATTAAACTTATATAATCACTTTATAGTTTATATTAACTTAAATGAAAGTTAATATTTTTGGTTATATAACTTTTTTTTATACTTGTATACTATATGTGAAATGTAATATAGATGCAGAAAAATGCACAAAACAGATCTGTAGCTCAGTGATTTTTACAAGCCAACCGCTTTTGTAACCATGTCCTTGAATAAACAGCATGGCCAGAGCTCCAGAAGCCGCCTGCGATGTTCCCTCCCAGCCATACCTTCCCCTTCCAAAGGCAGCCATCCTGACTTTCAGGAATCACTTTCTTTTTTTTGTAGTTGTGCCCCCTAGGTTTAAATCCCTAAACACTGCAGTCTAGCCTTGCCCATGTTTTGAATGTTTTGTGAATTCAGTCAGTCATAGAGGATGTATTCTTTTGTGTTTGGCTTCTCTTGAGAGATTTATCAATATTGTTGCATTAGACTGTGGCTTCATTTTCATTGTTTGTTTTTATTGCTCATAGTACTCTGTTGAATGAATACACCACAGTTTATTCATCCATTCATCCTGTCAGTAGACATTTGCATTATTTACAGTGTTTGGTTTTCGTAAATAATTCTGCTATGAACATTCTTGTATTTGAATCTTACTGCACATTATAAGCATTTCTGTTGTGTGTGTGTAACTCAAAGTGGAATTTCTGCATATATTTATCTTCAGCTTTAGCAGATGATGTTAACATGTTTCATGTATTTTGCTTTTTTATTTTTCTTCTGGGTGCATTCTGGCCAGAAGTAGAAGTTCTTCCCTTTTCACATTTAAAATGTTTTGAATATACTATTACCTTTTAAAGTAAAATTTCTTTATGTTGTCTAGTTTTAACATTTTTAGAGCATTATCTCAGAGAGAAATGGAAATAGGCCCACATAGGTATGAGACATGTTTAAAGTAGATAGTGTGATCAGGACACAACCAGCACCTTTTAGCTCTAGATCTAAATTCATTGAAAATACCTTTCAGATTATACAGCACATATTAGTGGCATGGCATGCTCCCTGGCATTTAGTTAGTTTAAAGCTTCGTTTAAAATCTGTTCTTGTTAAGATACTATTTGTTGTCACGATCATTATCTTCGTTATCATTCTTTGCAGTCGATATTTCTTCTTGGATTACAACCTCCCC